TTTTTTTTTTTTTAGGATTTATTTATTTATTATGTTTACAACATTCTGCCTCCATGTACGCCTGCATGCCAGAAGAGGGCACCATATCTCAGATGGTTGTGAGCCATTGTGTGGTTGCTGGGAATTCAACTCAGGACCTCTGGAAGAGTAGTTAGTGCTCTTAACCTCTGAGCCATCTCTCCAGCCCCGCTAAGCTCTTTTTATGAGGCTACAGTTACCCTAATACCCAAGCCACACAAAGATGTAACTAAGAAAGAGAATTACAGACCAATCTCCCTCATAAATATTGATGCAAAATACTCAATTAAATACTGGCAAACCAAATCCAAGAACACACCAGAAAAATCATCCACCATGATTAAGTAGGCTTCATCCCAGAGATGCAGGGATGGTGCAATGTACGAAAATCCATCAATGTGATGCGATATATAAACAAACTAAAAGAAAAAAAAAAAACATGATCATCTCACTAGATGCTGAAAAATCCTTTGACAAAATCCAACATCCCTTCATGATAAAAGTATTGGAGAGACTAGAGATAACAAGAACATACCTAAACATAATAAAAGTAATATACAGCAAGCCAACAGCCAACATCAAACTAAATGGAAACTCAAAATGATTCCACTAAAATCAGGAACAAGACAAGGCTGTCCACTCTCTCCGTATCTATTCAATATTGTACTTGAAGTTCTAGCTAGATCAATAAGGAGATCAAGAGGATACAAATTGGAAAGGAAACCAGATGGTGTTGGTGGCACACGCCTATAATTCTAGCACTCGGGAGGCAGAGGCAGGCAGATCTCTGCGAGTTTGAGGACAGCCTGGTTTACAAAGCTACACAGAGAAAACCTGTCTCAAATAAAAAATGGAGGGCTTAAGAGAGATGGCTCAGCAGCTAAGAGCACTGGCTGCTCTTCCAAAGGACCTAGGTTCAATTCCCAGAACCCAAGCACACAACTGTCTGTAACCCCAGTTTCAGGAGATCTGACATTCTCACACCAATGCACATAAAATAAATTGTTAAAAAATAAACACACAAAAAATTGGAAAGGAAGAAGTCAAACTTTTGCTGTTTGTTGATGATATGATAGTTTACATTAGTGACCTGAAAATCTCTACCAGGGAGCAGCTACAGCTGAGAAACACCTTCAGTAACATGTAGCAGGATAGAAGTTTAATGCAAAAATAAATCAGTAGCCCTCCTATATACAGATGACAAATGGGCTGAGAAAGAAATCAGAAACATCACCCTTTACAATAGCTACAAAGAGCATAAAATATCTTGGGATAACTCTAACCAAACAAGTGATAAACCTGTATGACGTGAACTTGAAGTCTTTAAAGAAAGAAATTAAAAAAAATACCAGAAAATGGAAAGATCTCACATGCTCTTGGATAGATAGGATCAACATAGTAAAAATGGCAATCTTACCAAAAGCAATCTGCAGATTCAATGCAATCCCCATCAAAATCCCAGCACAATTATTCACAGACCTCAAAAGAACAATACTAAATTTCATATGGAAAAACAAAAAAACCCAGGAACAATAAAGGGGATATCACCATCCCTGACTTCAAACTCTACTATAGAGCTATTGTAATGAAAACAGCTTGGTACTGCCATAAAAACAGACAGGTGGACCAATGAAATTGAATAGAAGACCCTGATATTAGCCCACACATCTATGAACATCTGATTTTTGACAACGAAGCATCAACAAATGGTGCTGGCATAACTGGATATTGGCATGTAGAAGACTGCATCTATCACCATGCACAAAACTCAAAGTCCAAATGGGTCAAAGACCTCAACATAAATTCATCCACACTGAATCACATAAACAAAAAAGTAGGACGTACCCTTGAATGCGTAGGCACAGGAGACTACTTCCTACTGGTGTTATATATATAACACCAATAGCACAGGCACTGAGAGCAACAATTAATAAATGGGACCTCCTGAAAATGAGAAGCTTCTATAAAGCAAAAGACATAGTCAACAAGACAAAATGGCTCCCTAAAGTTTGGGAAAAGATCTTCACAAACCCCACATCTGACAGTCATCTCCAAAATATACAAAGAACTCATGAAACTAGACATCAAACTACCAAATAATCCAATTAAAAAATGTGATACAGGTCTAAATAGAGAACTCTTAACAGAACAATCTCAAATGGCTGAAAGACACTTAAGGAAGTGTTCAACATCCTTAGGGAAATGCAAATCAAAACCACTCTGAGATTCCATCTTACGCCTGTCAGAACGGCTAAGATCAAAAACACCAATGGCAGCTTATGCTGGAGAGGATGTGGAGAAAAGGGAACACTCCTCCATTGCTGGTGGGAGTGCAAACTTGCACAGTCGCTGTCAAAATCAGTATATGACAATTTCTCAGAAAACTAGGAATCAATCTATCTCAAGACCTAGCAATACCACTGTTGGGCATATACCCAAAGGAGGCACACTCACACCACAAGGACATTTGCTCAACTGTGTTCATAGTAACATCATTCATAATAGCCAGATCTTGGAAACAAACTAGATGCCCCTCACCCGAAAGATAGATACAAAAATATGATATATTTACACAATTGAGTACTACTCAGTGGTAAGAAACAATGACATCTTTAAACTTATAAGCAAATGGACAGAACTAGGAAAAAAATATCCTGAGTGAGGTAACCCAGATCCAGAAAGACAAATATACATTGTATGTACTCACCAGACATAAAGCAAAGTATAACCAGTCTACAATCCACAACCCCAGAGAAGCTAGAATGCTTTTCCAGATACAGATGGAAGCAGATGCAGAAATCCACAACTAACCAATGGGCCAAGCTCCTGGAGTACAATCAAAATGAGGGAGGAGCGAGAATATGAACAAAGGAGTCAAGACAATGATGGGGAAACCCACAGAGTCAGCTGACTGGAGCTAGTGAGAGATCACTGAGTCCACACTATCAACTGGGGGAACCAATATAGGACAAAAGTAGACCCCTGATCACAGGTGACAATGGTGTGGCTTGGGCAGTATATGAGGTCATTGGCAGTGGGACTGAGATCTAACTGACTTTGTGGAGCCCATTCTCAGCCTAGACATGGGGGGGGGGGGGTGGGCACCTTGGTCCTGCCTCAACAAGGTGATGGGACAGACTTAGTTGACATCCTAGGGGAGGCCTCACCCTCTCTGAGGAGCAGATGAGAGGTGGGATAAGGAGAAGGAGGGTAGAGTAGGAGGGCAGGAGGGAGGGGGACCTGGGACTGAAATGTAAGAAATAAATTAAAAAATGCAAAGAAAAAAGGTTTGCCGAGAGTGATGCTGTTCTGGTCTGCCTGAGAGGATCTCAAATCTGACATTTATGAGAGACCCCCGGAAGACAGAGAAAAAACAGCTGTGAGAAGACAGGTGTCCTGCTCAGTCCAAGTCCATGTCACACAAGCTAGAGTCATTAGAGGAGGAGCACCAATCGAGAAAAATGCCTCCGTAAGACTGGCTGTAAGGTATTTTCTTAATCAGCGATCAGTGCGGGAGGCTGATCATTGTGGGTGGTGCCACCCCTGGCCTGCTGGTCCTGGGTTCTATAAGAAAGCAGGCTGAGCAAGCCACAGGGAGCAAGTCAGTAAGTGGCCTCTGCCTCAGCTCCTGCCTCCAGGTTCCTGCTGTGTGTGCATTCTGGTTCTGACTTCCTTCAATGATGAACAGTGACACTGAATTAACCCTTTCCTCCCTAAGTTGCTTTGGTCATGGTGTTTGATCACAGCAATAGAAACCCTGACTAAGGCACCAAGATAAGAGCTTGGTGCCACAAGCCAAGGGATTCAGGGTTCCTGTAGGATGGGCCCATGGAGTCTTGGGTTTGGTGTAGCCCTGTGGGCCCTCAGCTTGGTCTTCAAGCTTCCAGCCTGCAAGAACTACTGCATATCATTCAAGTCCCTACTTTATAGTCCCCAATCCCAGCAGCCCTGGAAAATGAGTAAAAGAAGCCACCAACATGAACACTCAGGACTCATGCAAGCAGTCAGAGCTTGGGTTCCATTATTTGAGGGTGAGGCTTGATTGTGCAGGGACAGAATGGACATGCGGTCTCCACTCTGCTCAGCTGTTGGCTGTGGGGGACATCTGTCACGGCAGGAACCCTCTGCGGCCACCATATCACTGCTCAGCTCTGCAGGTGGTGGCCTGTTCTTATTTTCTCTAGGCAGAGAGTTTGAGGGCAGCAGACCCCACAGGTCACCTTACTTCCTACACAGGTGCCAGGTCCTGGGACAGTCCTTGAGGCTGATTTGGTGATGCCCCTGGGGTCTTTGACTCAGGTCCTCAGAATGCTTCTCCATAGGTTTGGGTGGCCGAATGGCCTGCGTTTGGAAGGGGTGGTGTCAGGTCACAGAGAGCAGTGTGGGGAGGGAGAAGGAGACATGGCTTTTAAGGTTGTCCAGGAAGGTGTGAGCTGTGACCACCGGGGCTGGGAGCCAAGGCTGTACTCATCCGTGGGGCATATAGGTGGGACAAGGCTGGGGCCCACCCTGAGTTCTGGGCAGGAACTGTGCTTTCCAAACCTGAGAGCCTATGAGTGACAGGAACAGAGGGGACCGAGTGGGGGCAGGCGGGCTTTGACTCTGAAGGAGGTGGGCACTGACTCGATGCTCCTGGGCACCCCCTGGCTGCTTCAGGGAGAGAAGGCTGCCAGGGCAGGGTAGGAGCAAGTGGCCCAGGTCCAAGCTAGGTTCAGCTTTCCAGGCCAGGCAACCACTCAGCAACCTGAGGTAGGGCCAATGGCTGTCACATGCAAATGAATATCACGGTGGCCCATGTGCAAATAAAACTTTATTGACAAAAAAAACAGGTCTAGGGCTAGATTTGCCCCCGGGCTGCAGGTCACATGTTTGAGCTCAGTAGGATGTGCCAGGCGGGGTCAGAGCTGGTCAGATGAACCCTCCTGGCACAGTGCCCCATCCCCACAGAATCCTGGGCATGTCCCTGCCACGGCTGCCTTCCCTTCCTCCCCAGAGCTTTTGCCTGTCCCAAAGTCATGTCTCCATTCTATGTTTCAAAGAGGAATGGAGAACAAAGGGTCATGTGCCTGCAGGCTCCCACCCTCCTCCTCCCTTGGGTCAAACCCAAGTTTCCCTTGTAGCCAGCCCATCAGCAGGCCCACCCTGTTCCCACTCCTCCCTCCAACAGGCCAGGATCTGCTCCACCCCAAGGCCTAGCTAATGTGGGAAGCAGATGGAAGCTGGGCTGCTAAGCAAGGGGGGAGTCAGAGAGCCCAGACATCCTGTGGGGACGCATTGCCTCAGCCCCATGCCACTGGGGTGAGATGGAGATGCCTTGGGGATGGTGGCCCACCTCCTGGTGGCCCCTACATCCGGACCAGGACATGCTGTGCCCATCATTCTGTCAAGGAGACCTCCATCCTGAGCCTGTCTGGCCCTGGCCAGAAATGAGGACACAGCCATGGCCAGGTGGGAACAGGAAGCACTCAAGGGCTTTAATTGATCCTGAACCAGAGCCTGGAGACTGAGGCAAAAATATGGCGTCCTTCATCTGGGTGGGAGAAAGGTAGTGGGGGGAGAGGTTTTCTTTTTTGCAGATAGTAAAACCCAGGCCTCCCCGTGAGGAGCATATGCAAGGCCATCTACAGCCATTTCAGAGCCCTCGAGGGACACAGCCTGAGACCCCTGTGGCCCAGCTTCTCCCTTTAGGCCCAAGGTTGGGCCCTATTTCTTCTCTTTACAATATAAATAGAATTTCAAAGTACACATGGAAATGGAAGCCACTGGGCACTCAGCAAGCAGAGGCCCAGTCCCTCCAAGTCCCCAGCAGGTCCCCAGGGCCAGGCCTGTCTGTGCAGTCCTTTGTCATTTACAGAGAAGCTGTCCATCCTAGGGACTTACTGAAGTGCTAGTGTGGCAGTGGCTTCAAAAGAGACAGAGCCAACCCATGGGCAGTGGCCACTAGTGCAGACCAGGCCCGTGTAGTCTGAGTCTCTGTCACTCGACCCGCACTACAATGGAAGGTGGCACCTGCTCCCTCCTACCCTCAGCCACACAGAGGCTCTGTCAAGGGTGAAGGCTCATGGGATCCCAGGCCACAGCTGTGGGACTCAACCCCCTTGGGAGCCTGGCTCACCCATGGGGACACCTGCCATCCCAGGTAGCAGAGGCAGAGTGAGGAGGACTCTGTAGGGGGGCGGGGCAAGAACAGAGCAGGGATGAAGGGGAAGGGACTAGAGCTCCTGCACGGCCCACCTCCCCCAGCAGGAAGCAGAAGACACAAGGAGCTGTGGGCCACCTCACAGGTCACCATGCACTGGAGCACTGGGCTGTCATCTTCCAGGACGACACCTGTACAAGTGCCTCTCCACCTGCTCAGTAGACAAACGAGGCGGCAGGCAAGGACGAAGCTTTTATCTCCTTACATCTTGGTTCCAAGGAGAAAGAGCATGTCCGCTGTCAGTTTTTAAAGCCACAAATCTAGAAAACAGGTTGGGGCTATGCCCCAGTGTCCTCGGCTGGCGTCTGTCACAGGAGGCTCTGGGATGCCCCGTAGCACCTTTAGGAGAAAAGCACAGCCAGGCCGGGTCCCACGGAATCACTGCAGTCCAGGGACACTGGCCCCTCTCCCTGAGTCCGGCCATGTTGGATCCTGCTGGTCCTGTCACCCAGTAGGTCCCGCAGTGGAGACAGGAGTGCGCTGCCTCTAGAAAGGTGCCCCAGGTCGGCCCTGTGCCTGCAGCAGGCTCTCCACAAAGGCCAAGTATTCTGGGCTATGCCTTGTGTCCTCGTTAGTGCTGGCCAGCATGGTGGCCACCCGAGGACGCTTGGCGGCCTTCACATCCTCTCCAGAGAAGCCAGGCTCCTGTGGTGTCCCAGTGCTTAGAGACTGTAGGCATCAGAGATACGTTGTGCAATTAGTTGAAGATATGTTACATTTGTTTAATGATGCAAATACATGCTGCATTCTTTCATGTTGCATTTGTTTAACTCTGTAAAGCTGTGCGACTTTGCTGGTCTAAAGCACCTGATTGGTCTAATAAATAAAAAGCTGGGAAAAAAACCAAAGCTGAATGTTCAATAGTTAGACAGGAGAGAGAAACGGGTGGGGCTGCCAGGCAGAGAGAAATCTAGGCTTGACAGAGAAGAGGAGGATGCCAGGGACCAGCCACCCAGTTAGCCACAGAGCAAGAAGAAAAGAAAGAGATATTAGAATAAGGAAAGGTAAAAAGCCCAGAGGTAAAATGTAGTTAAAGAGAAATGGGATAATTTAAGTTAGAAGTTAAGTTAAGTTAATAATTGGCTAGAAATAAGGCAAGATAAGGCTGAGCATCCTAAGTAAGAATAAGTCTCTGTGTGTTTATTTGGGAGCTGGGTGGTAGGCCCCAAAGAGCAAAGAGTTTAAAAAACAAAACAAAACAAAAAAACAACTACAGAAATGGATCAGGCTGTTGCCCTGGCAAAGCCCTTCAAGACCGTGCCTGTCACTGCACCCTGACTCACATCCAATTGTCCCTAGATCTGAAGACTCTGCAAAGTAGACAACTGTCCCTTGGCTGAGTAGAGTCCAGAGTGATAGGCCCTGGATGACTGTGGTCAGCTCTAGGGCGTCACTTATGGCCAAGGAGGAGCAGTGGGCAGCCTGTCTAGGCAAGGCATCATCCATGCCCCAGGGGGGTGCTGGACACTCACCAGCCGGGACCGCACCCTCTTGGGCAGCTCCTCGTCCAGGGTGAAGATGTCCCCACGCTTCACTGTCAGCTGAGACCCGTCCTCAAACTCCACCTGCAGTGACATGGGCTCTCAGCATGGGGAGGCCCACAGTATACTTGCCCCATCCCCACCAACAGCCTCAAGGTGGCAGGGACTCGGGTGTCCTGGGGTTACAGGACCCCGCGGAGAAATGGCCAAGCCTGGGGCTGCTGCGGTTCTGAGCAGGCCCTGGGTGGCTGACGGTGATGTGGATACAATGTACCTGGGCAGCAGAAGCCAGGCCTGGCTGGACAGAGGGCAGGGCACAGGCCCTGGATGGGAGACTAAGGGGGTCCCCAGCTTCCCTCCACTCAGAGTGGCAGCTGTGGCATGCTGCCCCAAACAGGCTCCCTGCTCCAGAAATGACGCCCAAGGCTGGGATGGGTCAGGCTGTCGGGCTGGGAGGTAAACACCATGGCTGCTTCGGCATTTGGCCATCTTCTCTGGGAACAGCAGTGAGGAGCCCAAGTGACCAGTGGCCTAGGCCCCAGCCTGGCCTCCTGGCTGGGTGAAGACAAATGGTAGAGGCCAGGGCTCCTCTGGTCCTTCTAGGGGACACTGGAGCAGGGGTGAGCCTGGGCAGGAGGCCTGCCAGGGCAGCAGCTGGACCACACCATGTGACTCTGACCGTCTCGTACACTGGGAGTCAGGTTCCCCAGGAGGAGAGTTCTGGAAGGTGCCTGCTGCCGCCCACCTGTGATACTCCAGCGGGAGGCTGCACCCGCTTAACATCTCAACAGCTGCAGACCTCAGCCCAGGCTGCCCTGCAGGGGCTCACACAGGCTTCTGGAAACAGCTTGAGAGGAGTGTGATGGGCACGTGACTATATCCTTCCCCTGGTTGCTGGGCTTCAGGGTAGGGTAACCTGGCTGGCCTCTCACTTTGTGCCAGCACCTTGCTTGGCCACACATGTGCTGCGTGTGTACCAAATGGCCTGTCTTCAGGCAAAGGGATGGCTGGGCTGGACCTGTCCCCCTTCCCCCATCTGCCCGGGTGGGAGCACAGCTGTGTTGCTGGTCACTGCTGTTGTTTGACTCTGGGCTTCGTGTTGTTTTGAGACAAGCTGTTGCTGTGCAGCCCAGGCTGGCAGCTCCATCCCAGGCTGCTTGGTGGGCAGCACCCCAGCCCCAACCCCAGTACGGGCGGGGGTCCTCAGCCCTGTAGCTGGGTAGGCTGGCAGAGGCTGGGTGTCAGCTAGAGGGCCACTGTGAGGATGCTCACCTGGTAGATGAGGCTGGTGGCTGAGGAGATGAACCTGGCTCTATACAGGTTGCCATCTGTCCACCGCAGCTCCACCAGTTCGCCCTCGGGAGGTGGCCCTAGCCGCAAGCAATCTCTGCTCTGCAGGGAGGGGACAGTGAGGCCCCGCCTGGCATGTTCACCTCACTCTGCCCCTCCCTGCCCCGCCCCTTACCGTGATGCTTTCTGGGTACAGGTTGTCGCTGTAGGAACCGTCATCGAAGTTGACCTCGTAGAAGGTCTGTGCAGTGGTGCCTATGACACGGCAGCGATAATATAGCCCGTTGCGATTCTTGGTGATGACGACCTGGCCCAGGGACACAGTGCGCAGGAGCTGACCCTGGGGGCAGAGCAATGGCGCGTGTGGGCGGGGTTTTGCCCAAGTGGGTGAGGTTGGGTGGGGTCCTGTGGGCTGGGTTCTGGCTGAAGCACTCACCCCAGCGCCACCTGCTCTGTGCTTGAGGCAGGTGATGGACACCACATAGGGCCAGTCGTCGGGTTCCATAAGGACACCAGCAGCGTGTGCACAGGTCACATGGAAGGACGTGGAGCAGTGTTCGTAGGAGCACTGGATGCAGGCACCAGACACCCGCTTCATGCGCTTGCGGCAGTACACACACTTCTGCATAGATGGGTGCAGGGTTACCAGCAAGGCCAGAGAGGAACCTTCCAGAGCAGGTGGGGACACCAGCAGGACAGGACTAGAGCTGATGGCATCTGAACCCAAGTGACCTCTTCTCAAGCATCCGTCCTGATGCCAAGTGCCCAGCTCCCCTGCAGCAGAGCTGGGTGTTTGTGCCATGGGGATTTAAATTGTCAGGACTATGGATGGAGAGGCCATGTGCTCAGGATCTCAGGGTTTGTAATCAGCATGCCATGCACCTGAGCCACGATGCCCTCACCAAAAGCCACCCTAACTTGAACCCACCCAGCTGACAGCCCCTGCTTCTGAAGGAGTTTCCGGGGCCACCCAGTGGGCCTGCTCAGATGGCCTGCACCCTTGGGCTGGAACATGGTTCCAGACCCCTGGGTTTGTGATTCTGTCACCAGCCAATGGACAGCCCAGTCCAGGCTCTGGCTGTGAGCCAGCCCAGTTCCTACAGTGCTCCACTCAGTGTGTCCTGACAGCCAGGGAAATGAACCAGGTAAAACAAATACAGGACACTGTCCATGCCCTTAACTGAGGGCCTGGCCTCCAGCTTGACCACAGCCAGCTGTTCTCCCCACTAGTGTGGTGCTAAGTGCCTGGAGCAGACGCTATCCCAAAGTCTGAGCTGAGCCATTTCCATTCCCTCACTCCCTGGCTAGGCCACCTTCCCAATGAAGGAAGCACCCTGCCCCATTCCTTGGACACAGGGTAGGGAGGGAGCCACTGGGCTGCAGCACAGGCCTCAGCAAGCCATCTGCATCTAAGCCCCACTCAGCTCACATCTGGGAGCAGGAGAGGGTGGAGGGGGTTGGGGGAAATTGCAGCAAGACAGGCCTGGGGACACTGATGTTCTCCAGACAGCCACAGCAGTCCACACTCCTGCCTGGCAAAGTTGAAGCCCAGAAAAGTCAGGAGTCGATCTAGAGGCAGACAGCACCTGGACAAGGAAACTCGAACCTCTGACCTCCCTCACAATCCTGCTACAGAGCCGTGTGTGTGTGTGTGTGTGTGTGTGTGTGTGTGTGTGTATGTGTTCATTAATGAGCTGACTTGTGCATATGTATGTAGAGGTCAGAGGAGTGTGTGTGTGTGTGTGTGTGTGTGTGTGTGTGTGTGTGTTCATTAATGAGCTGGAAGAGGCCAGGTTCACAGGAGCCTTGGTATGCACAACATGGAGTGCTGAAGGCACCATGTGATCAACAGACACCAGGTGATCCAACTGGAAACCGGTCAAGGATAGGGCCAACAGTCCTCAAAGGAGATGGATCCGTGTAGGTGCCTATGTGCAGTCAGCCAGGGAAACCATCAAGACTGTAGAGAAGGGCTGTCCCTCCACCCTGACCATGGAGAAGAGAGAGCTGCATGCTGAAGGAGGGGATGAAGGACACAGGAAAGGTTTCTCAGAGAGTTCCAGAACAGTGTTGACAACCCAGTGTGCTTATGGCATACATGCAGAGACAAGACTGTATTCTGGCCGGTCAGTGGTGGCACACACCTTTAATCCCAGCACTCGGGAGGCAGAGACAGGTGGATCTCTGTGAGTTCAAGACCAAGGACAGCCTCCAAAGCTACAGAGAAACACTGTGTCAAAAAAAAAAAAAAAAAAGGACTACTCTGCATCTGCCTCTGCCAAGATCACGAGCATCACAGTGCTCCAAGATGTGGGGCCAGGCAGGTGAGTAAGCCTGGCCACCCAGCCATGGAAAGGAAGGAAGAAGGCTGGAGAGATGGTCCAGTGAGAAAGCATTTGTCCAACTTACAGGGCATGGGTTTGCATCATCAGAAGCCATGTAAAGCCAGATGCACCATGTCTAAACCCCAGTGCTGCTATGGTCTGATGGGCATCAGCGCTGGGGAAGCTGTGGAAGCTGACCACTCAGGCAGCTGGGCCACACATGCAAAGACTCAAGCAGGGTCAAGGGCAAGGACTGACACTTGAGGGTGACTTCTTCCTCCACCTGTGTCTGCACACGTGTGCACACACACAGGACACACTACTGCGTTTGTGACACAGTGGAAGATGAAGCTTGGGGCCTCACTCTGAGGGGGGTTAGGAGTCACAGCATAGGACAAGGCTCCTCTTCCCCAAGTCATAGAAAGCAAGCACCATGGAGGGGCAGGCCGGGCATGGGGGGGGGGGCTGTAGCTGCTGCACGGCCTGGAGGGGTGACTCTCACGCAGTGCGAGCACACTGAGCTCAGGCACGAACAGTACCTGGAAGTGTCTCTAGAGAAGCCTGAGAGCTGGGATACTTGGACTGAGGGCTGTCTGGTTCACCTGGGGGAAGTCCCCACTGTGCCCTGTGCACTGCACAGAGCTCCCCACCCTGCCCCAGGGTTATGGGTTTGGAGAAATAAAATGTCCTAGGCCAGGCTGGGACTGTCTTTCCAGGATCTCTTGGTCCACCCCATAACTAAGGTTGGTGGCCCCAGCCCTGGGGACCTACCAGTTTCCACCGCTGCTCAGGGATGGCACTGACGTCCACGGGGTTGCGCTCAATCACATTAAGGAACCGTACCTCAGGGACTGCAATGGCGCAGATCACATGGATCCACCTGAGGGGTAAGGGCAGGGTCACAAGTGCACTGCTGATGGCTCCAGGTTGTCCCCCAGGGAGGGGGGTAGCTGAGGGTTATGGGCATTCAGGACACTGCTCCCCTCATGGTGGATACCCTGTCTCTCTCTCCAACCTCCAGGGAAGCTGAGCAGGGTGACAGGACAGTGACAGTTGCATAGGGCAGGGCAGAGCACACACCTGTGCTCTGTGGTCGTCTGTAGTGCTCCCCCCCGGAGGTTGCACAAACAGCACTCCTGAGGGACAGATAACATGGTGAGATACAGCTGCCTCCACTGTGCACCACCCCCACCCTAGGGACAATGAGTGTCAGGCCCCAGCCTCAGAACAGCTAAGATCAAGACCACTGGCCCAGGGAGACCTAGGCCTCCCAGGCTTGAGGAGCCACCCAGCACCAGGTGAGTTACCGCAGTCCAGGCATGGGCCGCACACCGGGAGCATGTCCAGCCCTCCTTGGCCAGCTCAGGCCGGACACCATAGCAACCTGGAAGACAGTGGAGTGCTAGGACCAAACCAAATCTGACACCTGCAACACCTGCAGCCCCCACACCTGCAGCCCCCACACCTGCAGCCCCCATACCTGTACAGTGTAGCCTCCTGGGCCAGAACCCCGGAAGGTGACCCCTAAACTCAAAATGCACTGTGTCCAGAAAGTACCCTCCTGTCCCCAGAGCCTCTCATACCCAGACAGCTGTGGAACACTCACTGGCATGGACTTGCAGGCAGCAGTGGGCACAGGAAATGAGTGGGCTGGTACCATCCTCGCCGACGTAGGAGTTGGCAGGCAGAGGCTCTGTGTTCTCCCCACTCGAAGTGAAGCACATCTCAGGGATCAGCGGCCGTGTTCTCTGGCCACTTTTGGAGGGTGGCTGGACAGCAATGTCCCCTGGAGTGGCTAGGACCTCTCGCTCTGTCTGTACTGACTGGAGAGGCACGGCCATCAGCAGGTGACAGAGGATTCTATACTCAGTTCAGGGCCACAGGAGGCCAGGCTGCTGCTCCCCACCTATCCTGAGTCTGGGGTGTTCAAAGCTGTGTTCCCCTGGGGCTAGGGCTGCCTTGGGACTGAGTGGCTTGGGTGACAGCAGCTGTGGCATCAATCCGGGGAGGCCAAGTAGGCAGCTCACCTGGCTATAGGGGTAGAAGAGGGTACAGATGGCGCAGTAGGGCTCATTGAGGGCAGCTGCGGCGTTGAACTTCCTCTCAGCTTGGAAGCTGGCTGCCTTGTTCTTCCACTGCAGTGACAGCAGGGACTTCAAGGCCTCGGGATCACTCACATCATCCTCTCCTAAGAACGGGAAGGCTTCTGTGATAGATGGAGGGGCTTGAGTTGGAAGACAAGGCCCCAGGGCAATACTTCCCTATAGGTGCTCCTGTCTGCACAGCCCTGGCTGGGTACTTGTTGGTCTGCATTCCTAGCAGGGAGGGAGGGGCTGGTTTATCTCCATGGGTCTCCCCAGAGTCTAACCTAAGGCCCGGACACCAAACATGCCACCCTCAGACACATCCTTTTGTCTGTGAAGCTGGGCACAGCGCTGCCTACCTGCCCGGGAGCCTCAGCCACAAGGTTGCTGAATGCTGGCCCACCTGCGTGGCAGATGGCCACAGATGGACAAGAGGATAGGCAGTGGGGACTGTCAGCCAAAACTCACTCCATTCTTAATCACTTTACACCTTGGAGCCCTAGGAACGCCTCCCATGGAGCCTGGGACACCCTGCCTGGTACACAGCCTGCTCAGCCCCGGAGAAGCCCCACACAAGCTCATGGGAGCCAGAGACCCCAGGACTGTCCCGGGATCCAGCCATGCCATCTTCCAAGAGACACTCGGGACATGGAGTTGGGGGAGATTTTCCAGTCCAGGACTCCCCAGAGACTCTTATGGGATGAGCTCAGCGGGGAGGCAAGAGCCCGAGACTTGGTCTCAACTGTTCCTCAGGTTCCTATCATGCCTGTGGTGAGGTCTTGGGGTGAAGAGTTGCCAGCCGGCTTTCAGACTCCACCAACAGCTTAATTAGGAGCCAAAACCCACCAGGACCTGCACATGGGCCCTACTCTACCTGCCTTGCTAGCCAGCAGCGACCTCTGTACCCAAGTCTCAACCAGCACTGGGGCGTCCCCTCCTGGGTCTACCACATGCATTCACCAGCATCCCTCATCCATCTATAGACACACCCTAAGCTGTACCACATCTGGGGACACCTTTAGATACCTATCTCTGCAAGCGCCAATGAAGCTTCTGTGCAGAACTGAGGGTGCAGAGCTGGGGCAGAGGGACTGCTGCCACAGCCCATTCCCATGACCCCAATCCACAGTCAGCACCCCGTACCCTCTGCACAGGTGCCAGCACCAGGCTCCAGCCACCTGTCTCAGGCCCTGGCTCCTTCAATCTTTCCACTGAGACCCTGAATGCTTCAGCCCATTGCTTGGATCAGGAGTGGAACTATCAATGACACCAGAGGCCCTGGTTGGAGATGGCTATGATCTAGGCCTTCTCTGGTCACATGACAATGAGGACTGGGCCCTGGCAAATGCCGGGTTGGGAGGTACAGTGGGGTGGAGGCCCTGTAGGCAGCAAGGAACTGGGGTAGTTAAAAGAGCGTGGGAGCTGCGTCTCTGCAGAGGGGAAGGGCAGAGAATTCTGGAGTGCGCTTGTGTCAGAATGGTGATGATAGGGAGGACCTGACTCAGGGGACTGGATGGGTGGACACTGGCACCTGTGGAGAGGGCCCGCCTGGGTCCCATGCAGGTGGGAAGAAAGCAGCATAGTGGCCCAGGGCCCTGCTTACCCTCATCACTCGAAGCCTCCTGCTTGACCACAGACAGCGGGGACCGTGTGGGCGGCCGACCCAAGGGATGACGCCGGCTTTTCTTGATTTCCACCTTCAGCTTAGAGAAGGTGGATGGTGCCTAAAACACACAGCATTATGAGTGCTGGATCCTGTCACCCACAACACACATGTGTGCTCACATACAAAGTCACTCACAGCACGCTCGCGTGTGTTCACATCACTGTCACAGCACGCATACGTGTGTCACATCACTGTCACTCACAGCACGCACACGTGTGTCACATACAAAGTCACTCACAGCACGCACACGTGTGTCACATCCACTGTCACTCACAGCACGCACACGTGTGCTCACATACAATGTCACTCACAACATACACAGACTCCAGTTGCCGCCCTGGCACCCAGAGGCCATTAGTCACCCACCTGTGCATCGCCTGCTTGGGCCTGGCCTTCCTCTTCCTGTCCCAGCTCCACGGGTGCCAGCTGTGGGTGGGTAGCACGCTCCCTGTCCCCATCAGCAGTGTTGGTGCGGGGAAGCACATACAGCATTGGGATGATGGGCCGTGGCCGCACCTCTGCTTCCTCACCTGGTGCCCCAGGAGGCACCACATTGAGGGGTGCTGGTGGAGGACCCCCCTCTGCAGCCATGGGGCCCATGGCTGGCACGGGAGACTTGGGTGGGGGGGGTGGCCTCAGGACCTCCTCAGTGGGTAACAGAGCCGGTAGGGCGGGCGGCAACGGGGGTGACAGGGGGTTGGGGGTCTTCTTCTTGCTCCGGGCCTTGGTTGGCCGGGGCTTGCCTCTGCCATCCTCTGAGAAGAGAAAGCATCATTCAGAACCAAGTGGAAACAGATGGGAGCAGGAGACAAAAGCTGAGTGGGACTCCATGTCCCCAAAGCTAGAGCAAGTTCAACCTCCACCAGTGCCCGGTACCAGGCTGCCACACTTAAAGAGATTCCTGAGCTGGTGTGGAGCAGCAACCTGCCATCCCAGCACTCAGGGTGTGTGTGGAGAGGTACAAGGGCTAGCCAGTGCTCATGATACCCTGCCTCAAAAAAAAAAAAAAAAAAAAAAAAAAAAAAAAAAAAAAGGAAGGAAGAACCCTTCTGGAGGAATTGGGTCTAGGAGGGGGGAGCTCTCCTAGGGAAGTGACTGTGAAGACACTCAGTTGTCCCAAGCCACAGGCTCTTTCCAAGCCAGCAGGTGTGGGGAGGAACAGACGTCTACAGTTACTGCAGACAACACATCATACAGCCACCACAGAGGGGACCCAGCAACAGATGGGTCTGGGGAACTCCCATATGGCGGCCTCTGGGGTGAGTGTTGGAGATAGCTCTTGACGGGACATGAAGAAGGGGGGGCAATGAGACGTATCTTTTTTTGGTTTTTCGAGAAAGGGTTTCTCTGTGTAGCTTTGGAGGCTGTCCTGGCACTCGCTCTGGAGACCAGGCTGGCCTCGAACTCACAGAGCTCCTCCTGCCTCTGCTTCCCGAGTGCTGCTCCCGATTAAAGGCGTGCGCCACCACTGCCCGGCTAATGAGATGTATCTTGGTGGTAATTTAGTTTGGTGCCATGATGACTGTACCAGAGGCAGGTGACAGGGACAGAATGATCGGGGCTTGGTGACTTGTACCATGTTCTCCAGGGAGCCCTACCTGACACTGTGTACCCTGGAGCCTAGCCCCTACACTGGGCAGGGGTTAAGATGTCACCTAGAGTATCATGGGACTGACTATATCCTGCTGTTGAGTGGCCTGAGTGCCTCTTGAGTTTTAGGTGCACTGGGCTGAGTGGCTCACGAACAGCTGTACCCCAGGCTTGGAACCCAGGCTGCTGATGGGAGAGGAGGGGAGGAAGCACACTGGAGTCAGGCCTCTGGAGCGGGTCACCTCTGTGTGCCAGCCACGCCCTCACACTCCAAGATGACGGCTGCCACTCTGCTGGGTCTTTAGTGCATTCAATGGTACCGCCAATCCCTAAGACACTTAGCTCCCCACCCTGCAATGGGACATAGTGAGAACAGGTGGGGCATCTCCCAGCCCCAGGACAACAGAGCCCACTCACTCCCATAATGGAGTTGCTGTGATCACCAAGGACCAGGATGAACCCCTACAGGATGTGTTCTTGGACCCAGGGATGCAGGCCAAGTGTGAACCCAGACCCTGACCCTTGACCACGGGGCCCTGTCCAAGGTTTTCTTATGACCAACAAGAGCTGTGGGTGCCTCAGCATCTCCAGGCTCCGTATGGCTGTGAGAGAGCCTGGAGCCTTTAACAGAAGCCTGAGAAGGGGCAGGGCATGGGGCTGGCACTCCTCCCAGCCTTGGGACCCACCACAGACGCACCGTGGCCACATCAGTGGGAACACACTTGCTTTGGGGGTCAAGGAGAGAGGGTCCTAGCCTGGGTCCTCTGGGGTATTGGGATGGGCAGCCTGGTGGACAGGCCCTTCAGGGGTGACTAGGAGCTATGACCAGGTGCCCCACATGCGTGGGTTTGTCAGCCCGTTTGGTTCAGGGTCACAGGCAGCAGGAGGTCAAGGGGTGTGGTAGGCCACACATCTACAAGTGCAGGCTCTGCTCTAGCTTCTGAGGTTGGACACACCTGGAAGGCACAAGTGGCTCTGCCTCCTGGCTTGGCAAAGCCAAGACTGGTCTTTCACTGCCCTATTGAGGGTCACTGTGTCGGCTCTGCCCCAATGGAATCAGGCCCAGCTGTGCTGTTGGGGGAGTCCCCAACTCATCACCTGCCACTGTCCCCTCAGACAGGCTTTAGGGCTCAAGGACGGTGCCTACTCAGTGCCCAGCACACTGTCCTGAAGGCAGGGCTGGCTTCTTGTAGCCCCCCGAGCAGCAGCCCCCAGAGCAGCAGAGGCTACTGTGACCATTCTAGTTCTCAGGTGTGTGGCTCAACTGCACAGGGAAATAAGTGGAGGGTGGCTGTCCCCACACAGAAGGCAGAATAGCAGACACACAAAGAGCAGTTAATTCAAACCTTCCTCCATCCGACTGACCGGGTCTGGGAGATAACCTCTTGACCTTCCAGAAGACCCTTGTCACACTGTCTCACAACATAGTGTGGATGTGGGGACATGAGCCTTTACCCCCATCGGTCTCTCTGCCCTGCCAACAGCCTGAGGTACATACAGACCCCTCAAGGGACACATCAGGCCCCAGAATACACCTGAAAGGTCACCAAAAGGCATAGATGATGCAGATCTGAGGGTGGCCTAGTGTCTTACAGGAGGGGGCATGAGGCGGGTTTCCCTGGTGATAGGACGTGTGGAGCTGGCACTCCTCCCGGCCACGGGACCCACCACTCCTGGACACACCTTGTGTCCCGCCCTGGTCAAATGTCAAATGTCTTGGTGAGGGCTTAATCCCTCAGCCCGGGAGGTCCACACGGGTGCCCATCTTCAGACTTGGAACTGACAGGCAAGTGTGACTCTGCAGGGTCAGGCGGATGCCCAGGATGCCCAGGATGCCCAGGGCTCTGGCTGAGGGCCACTTGGGGAGCTGTGGCACCCTTTCTTCACACCTATCAGAGAGGACATCCTAGGTGCCATGTGAGTCCCTGTCCAGCAGGAGACATGCCATGCCTGTCTTCCTATCACTATCCTTGGTGGCTCCAGTCTCTTTTGGAATGCTCTGTTAGAATTCCAGGTAGGAAATACCTGCTCACCACAGCACAGGCAGCCTAGATGGTACCTAAACAGCCACAGGTGACAGGCTGAGCTACAGGGCCATGGCCTGGTGTCTCTTGTGCCCACCCCACTGACTACTGGGTTGCCTCGGAGCCCCAGCCACCCCCTGCCTAGCAGTTCCTCTTTCTGCTCTCTGAGGAGCAAGGCTTTAGGTGCCACCCACACATGCTGCCCACCATCCATGTGTTCCACAGTAAAATGTCCGCTACCACGGGACAGACACTGCTTCCACTTTACAAGGACTTAAGGTCAAGGAGAACCCTTATATCAGTGGAAGTCTCCAAAGACAGCCACACCCTGGCCTGGGGCCTGGGGCCATGTCACCTCCCACAGTAGGAGGACTCCGAGGCTACCACAGGATCTTCAGGAAGCAGGATGAGAAGCAAAGAGACCGGGGAAGCTAGGGAACGGCCCTCTCCCTCACACCACACTGAAGAGGGGGTACCTGACACCAGATCCACAGGGAATAGACATATACACTTTAAGACACCAAGACCCCAGTGACCAGTCACATGGCTATAGGAACTCAGGCCAGTGTGGAAGGTGGAAGCAGGGAGCCCATGACAACCACAGGACCAGGCAGGACCCCCCAATGAACGTGCAAGCTCCACAAGATGACCAGCAGGCAAGCGGGTGGCATTCCAAGGACGATGCAGGTAGCGGCAAGGCTGGGGACAGACAGGAGGGAGGGGGCAGGAGGCACTGACAGGGGAGAGAGAAGGGCTGGGGACACGGGGCCTTGGATCCAGGGCGTCAGTAGGCACACTGCCTACATCCTGCAGCTCCACATGTGACCCTGACAACCACAGACAATCCAGAAGGGCACAGGGATGTCACAGTGCCTCTACACCTGCAGCCTCCTGGCACCTCCTGCTTCTGCAATAGCTTGCTATTGTCATCACTCAGTGCAGGTAGAGCACAGGGCCTTATGCATGCCAGAAAGCACCTTACCACCTCACCCCAACCATGCTCAGGTGTCTAGTTTGGAGCCCCCTGCATCTGTGGCCAACAGTGTCTTCTTGTTAGTCTTCATTTGCTGTGTAGCTAATTCTGACTGGCTCTTACTGGCTGGGTGGGAGCTACCGTCCACCAGTGGCCTCACTCATCCACAGAACCTTGCACGTCCTGAGTCTCTGGCCATGCATAGCCTTGCCCACAGTCCCATGGGTCACTCTGCCTGTGGGCACATTACATTGTGGCCACCCTGCTTTCCCTCGTTTGGCCTTTCTGGGCTGGAAGACCATGTCATGGTATACTGTGGACAAGTCTCTGTAACTCTCCCCAGCAGCCAGTGGAAATCTGAGATGCTGTGTTGACAGACGCCAGTCCCTGGTCTCTCACACTCCAGAAAGGCCACAGAGGGAAGCCCTTCCCTACCTTGGGGGCAAATTTGCAACTAAATGGAAGCCAGCAGTAGAAATGAGGCACCCAGTGTGTGGTGTAGGAGAGCTGGGACACTCAGTGCCAGATTGCAGCTCAAGGTCCCCAAGTCACAGGTGCCTGCATAACCTGGCCATGGTGTGTCCAGGCCAGCAGGAGCAAGATAGCAAAGTAGGACCAAAGGGACCCAAACCCCATGCTGTAGGCATCTGGCACTGACCTTCCATGCCCTCAGCCTCGTGGCCCTGTGAGGGCAACAGTTCCTCATCCTCCTCCTCGTCCTCAGGTGTGGCCTCCTCCCGGGAACATCCCCCAGCCTCGTCCAGACCAGCTGCTCTGGCTGCCACCTCTCCAGGAGACTTGGAGTCTTCAGGCTTGGATTTCTTAGGCTGGTTCCGTCTCCGGTGCGACCTGGAGAAGGGCACTGGTCAGGCAGGAGGGGAAACGGAGGAGACTGAGGTAGTACAGGGTGGGCAGGGAGGAGGGTCAGGGAGGCGCAGGGCTGGGGTGAAGCAAGTGATGGAGGCACTGGATGGACAGGACACTGGATGCAAGGGAGATCACTTACGCTGGCCCTGGCCTCCTGGTCGGCTCCCGCCTCCTCTCTAGACTCGGCCTCCTCTCCTCCTCAGCCTTTCTCCAGGGTCTGCTCTCCTTCACACTAATTTGTCTAGAATGTAAATTTCAGGGTTTTCCTCTGGCTCCAGGGCTCTCTCTACAGCCCTCCACACAGGGCTCTTAGGTCCATACCCAGCCTGAGCACAGGGACAAACGTGCCACCCTCCTGAGGACAGCAGGGATGGCCCTTGATGCCACAAACCGGCCTTGCTGAATGAGGGGATGAGTGAGCATGTACAATAGGGGCAGAGGCAGGACTTTCCCACCAGCACCTAAAGCTGCTTAGCCTGACAAGGGGGCATGGCTTCCTGCAGCTCTGTGTCCCTGGGGTCCCCAGTCCAGTATCCCACACCCATTACAGCCCCTCATTAGCCCAGAGAGCTGGGAACGCTCTGCAATCCCTGGCTCTGACTGTGGCCTGCCCTCCTCTCCCTCACTCCTGTGGCTAAAATACCCTCGACCAGGCAGGACCCCAATGAATGTGCAAGCCTCACAAGATGACCAGCAGGCAAGCGGGTGGCATTCCAAGGACGATGCAGGCAGCGACAAGGTGTGCTTACACAGTGGCCGCAGGATAGCTGGGGACAGGCACAAGGGAGGGGGCAGGAGGCACCGACAGGGGAGAGAGAAGAGGGGTTGGGGACACGGGGCCTTGGATCCAGGGACACCCCACCCCTTCTGCTCTGGGTGGGCAGCCCCAGCAATGCGCTGACTTGGGAACACCGAGTCAGGAAGGAAGTGTGGTGGCTCAGACCCCAACAGTTGCCCCAGTACCTAGGGCTGCTCCGAGTGGCTCCCAGCTCCAGACAGCGCTCACAGCCTGCCACCAACGCACTGGGCCACAGCTTCCTGCGTGGCCCTGATTCAGTCACTGTCCTAACCCCACTGTGAGCTGGTCCTGGAGGCCACACCAAGGGTCTTCCAGGCCCTTGTACAGCTGACTGGGACACCCCGGACGTTACACCACACCATTTACAACTGAGCACAGCAGCCTTCCTGGCTCCCACAGTCCAGGAAATGGGACCTCAACCCATCTGCGCCCCACACCAGAAAATAAGGGACTCAGATGTGTGTGCTGTGGCCATCCAGAGCAGGGAGGGCCACTGTATGCCAAAGAATAGCCATGCTGTATTAGGAAAACAAGCCGGGACCCAGGCTTGTGACAATAGTCACACCCCACACTGATGCCTCTCCCAGAGGCAAGGCCTGACCTATATCCTCTCCACAAGCGCCTACCCCCCCCAGTCTGACACACAGGTATTGGTAATTCTCCACTTTACAGGTGTGGCCACCACAGCTTCTCTTTAGGCAGCCAGACTCTCACCTATGGGACCCTGAGCTGGGGCAGTGTCCCTGACTCTTGGGGTTTGCTGCAGCGCTTCAGCCCCTCTTCAATTCCTTCTGGCATCTCCAGATGTTGGGGCCCTACCCTAAACTACTCTGCAGCTTGCCTCCAGCTCTACAGTGGTGACCCCAGCACATGTCCGTGTCCCTGCCCCACATGCACATGTATGTCACTATGGCTCTGGCAAGGTGAGCTCCTGAAGTCCTGCAGCTCTCGGGGCTCACACTTGTGCTGGGCTGACGTGTACCGTGCATTAGCTTTCTCAGAGAGGAAGTGAGCTGTGGAGATGCGGGTCTCAAGTTGTCTTTCCTCCCTGTGTTCAGCAGGTTGTCAGGATGGGGAACCCTGGGAGGGGATGTTGGGAGGGCACAGTCTTTAGCCTGATACCAGCTTCTCTCTGGAAGCTCTGGGGACAGCCTGCTGAACCCACTGAACGGCCCGTGGGTGTGCTCCACATTTCGGGTGATCATCCCCCGCCACAGGACCAGGCTGCACAGAGCTGCAGCTGCATGTGTCTGCAGCTGAGTCTGCCAGCCTCCTCTACCCCTTGTCTGTGGCTGCTGTGCGGCGCTCCTGCGTCTCCCTGCGGCATGCCGGGCCAGCTGTGCTGCCCTTTTCTGTCCCTGCTCTTCTACCACATGCTAGGGTGGCTTCGGAATCTCCTTGAAGGCCGTATCTGTCCCATCCTGGCCTCTAGCCTTGTTCTGTCCTGGCATTACAGGTGCACTGGAGGGTGGGTGGGTGGCTTGCTGATGAGGGTGAGGCCAGGTGTCGGTGGAGGGCAGGAGGCTCCACGGGGACTGCCGTTAGGATCAGACCCACTAGATGGGTCCTGTACTCAAGATGCCAGTCTTCTGCTGTGAGGTAAGTGGCATGTCCCGGCGAATAGACCTGGCTATGGGGGCTCAGAAAGGAGAGGCTATGACTCCTGAACACCAGGGCTCCCACCGGTCTATGCAAGGCAACCAAGGCTCCAGCCTGGAATCCTCAAAGTTCTGGCCCAGTCTAGCTTGCTCTGAAAGGCCTCCTGCTGCCTCCCTCAAGGTCTGAGCCACACAGCTGCTCCTACAGTACTGCCCTCCCCACACCTCAGCGGGATTAACCCACAGATGTTCTGGGCATCATTATGTCACTTCTTCAGAAGCTGAGTGTTGGCATGTGAATGACATAGACTCTTCTGAGATGAAAGCAGGTGCCCTGGGACTTGTGACAAGCAAGCCTACAGCCTCTGCGTGAAGACAACAGGTGCAGCAGATACATGGTGACCTGTGTCCACAAAGCAGCTAGGAGACCACCCACCCACAGGCTCTTGGCTCCCTCAACTTGCCCCCTTCTTGCCACTAAGGCAGATCTAGGAATATTTCCAATATCCCCTGGGAAATGAGGTTACTCTGGGGTCCAGGAGATATTCACAAGGCCTTGGCTATGAGTGGCTCTAGGCCAGCAGGTGCCTGGGGTCAACTCTAGTGTTGAGGGCGACAGGCTGGGGTGTCGCACTATGGAGCACCAACACCTCCTAACCCCCACACATCCAAAGCAGGCCAGGTTGGATGAGGGCTGTGGCACTGTCCCCTGGAGTCAGCCCACCTGATAAAGCTGGGGGACTGGGAATGGGGACAGGGTGGCACAAGGCAGCCTGAGCTTAGGCCTGAGCTGAGGGAGCCCTGTGCAAACATACAGGGGCACAGAAGCGGGAGGACCCTCATCTAATGAGGAGGCTAAGCACACCACTGCTGATCTAGTAGCAGCTCCAGCAAGGGGCCAGTGGGGAATGTCTGATGTCTAGGGCTGTGACGGAGGCACTGCACAGAAGACAGATCAGGAGTGTTCTCAGTATCTGATGACAACAGTAGCTCCAGGCCCTGGTGTGTCAGGGAGACACTCTGGCCCCACTCTGAACCCCTGACGTGCCTCAGTTTCCCCAGGGGAGCCAAGCATGAGGACGAGGCACAACATGCTATGGACTGTGGAAGCATGACAGTGCCCTTCCACAGAGGCCAGGAACTTCAGAAGAAACAAACAGCTCTGGCTTTGTTCATGTTAACAGCTTTAAAGGAAATTATGTCCTTGGATTAACAGGATTCATTTGCTACACAGCCACTGCCACGTTAGCACGGCTTCCAGAAAGGACAGGGATGCTGCTGGGGGGCGGGGGGCGGGGAGGACTTGTGAGAGGATGGCTGGAGGCGTGAGGGTGGCCACAAAGTTCCATCTCGGGATGGCTCTGGTGTCACTATGGTTCTGGAATGTGGTGTCTGTTTACTGATCATCTGATTAGCTGACCCATAAGCCCAGACACTGAGAACCAACCATCAGGAAACCATCCCAAAATCTTGCAGGCGCACTCAGGCCCCACCACAGGCTGTCACCTGACTGCTAGGTGCTGCCAGAATCCACTGTAGAATATTCTAAAACCACAGAGAGGAGGACAGAGACCAGGGAGTAAGTGGGTAATACTGTAGTGCACACACAGCAGTGTTGAAGAGGACATGCTAAGGGAAGACCTCAGACCACAGTCCCCATGGCCTGTCTGCAGAGCAGTACCCCATGCCCAGGGCTAAGGCAGCAGCTTGCCAGTAGTGGAAGGTAGCAGGTTGCTCACAGCACAGCCAATGCAGGCTGCAGGCTGCAGCTGGTTCCAGGAGATGCTATGGATTCTGTGACATTTGGAAGCCATCAGGATCTTAGAGTCGGTATCTTCAGGTCAAGGGAGTCTTGTCAATAGTGGTGGCTCCTGAGTGGCAGCCAGAGACTGGCCTGCCAGGTGCAGAGTTCTTGGGCCTTCCTGGCCCTCACAGGTAGACAGCTGAGCTCTGTATAGTCCCACAGTTGTGGCCCCAGCTGAGCTCTGAGGGCTGTCCTTGGCCTATCAGAAGCTCACACCCATGAAGGGCTACTAGAGGCAAGGAGTGATGGACACCCTGTAGTGAGGGACTGGGCCCACCTGTGCAGCCTTCCTCTTAGACAATGGAGTCAGGCTCCTCTCCAACTCTGCTACCTGCACTGCCAGTGCTAGAGATCAGCGCTCAAGGCTGTGGCAGCCCTGTCCAGGTCCCCAGTCAGAGGTGACCACAAGTGGCCACACTACTGTAAGAAGCAGGCCAGGAGGGTCTGGTCATCCTTAGGAGCATGACATCTGGTGTGGGCTTTTGGCCACATGAATGCTTGCAGGGAACCTGCCGGCTCTCAGAGCTGCAAGGGTACAGAGACTGTTACCAGGGGAAGCGGCAGTGAGCTGTTCATTTGGATGTCCAAACAACTCCTGTTAGACAAGTCAAAAGGACACTGGAAGGCTGTCACTCACCTGCGCAAGAGCTTGGCCTTCAGTGAGGCACGGGAGGCACTCCAAGAGCTCAGCTCAGGGCTGCTCAGGGCTGTGGGTCGAGTGTGGTCCAGCACAGTGAGGTCTCGGCCCTGCTTCCACTGCTCATAGCGTTCAGGTTGCAGGATGCGTACAAACACGTCCATGGAGATCTTGACCATGTCCTTGCGACATGTGCACTGTGGGGACACACACACAGGCACTGAGTCTCATGCAAGGCCCCTGGCTCCCACGCTGCAGACGACTGGTGTGAGGATGGGACTGCTAGCCCAGCCCTCACCACAGGCAGGCCAGGCGGAGAAACCCAGAGGGAAACCTGTCAGTGAGTGGATGCCCAGTCTTGCCCAGCAAGAAGTGAAGAGAAGAAAGGTGGACACCGACCATTTCCAGAGGGCAATATGGTCTTACAGATCAACCACCCAGGACCAGGCAGTCTGGGTGCCTTCCAAAAGGGCCTAGAAGATGTAAGACGGGGCTTGTACAGATCCAGAGCAAGGACTGGCAAATCCAGACAGTGATGGGGAGCAGCCAGGGCCTTGTGCTCACTCTGCAGGCTGAACACTTCTGAGACAGTCTCCACCCCAGCTGGGCCAGAGCAGAGCACTGGCAGGGTAGCTGACATAAATGCAATTTGAGCTTTTAAAACAGCCTCCTTAGTTTTTGCTATTTATACTCTCTCTCTCTCTCTCTCTCTCTCTCTCTCTTTTTTTTTTTTTTTTGGATTTCTCAAGACAGAGTTTCTCTGAACTGCTTTGGAGACTGTCCTGTCCTGGAACTTTCTCTGTAGACCAGGGTGACCTCAAACTCACAGAGATCCACCTGCCTCTCCCGAGTGCTGGGATTAAAGGCGTGCACCACCAACGCCCGGCTCACTCCTGCCTTCTCTTGATGGGCCTCACAGGTTTTTTTTGTGTGGTTTGGGAGCCTATCCTGGCACTCGCTCTGAAGACCAGGCTGGCCTCGACCTCACAGAGATCCACCTGCCTCTCCCGAGTGCTGGGATTAAAGGCGTGCACCACCAACGCCCGGCTCACTCCTGCCTTCTCTTGATGGGCCTGCAGGCTGTGACACTGCAGGGGGTTCTTTCTGCCCCCATTCCACAGCAGCCATGGCCATTTGGGCACCCCTCGGAAGACGGCAAGGTTGGGTCTGGTATATGAAGAAATGTCCTGCAGCTCCCACTTCTCTGTGTTTGGGGTAGGGGGAGGGTTAGGATCTGCCTGGGCCCAGCATACTGAGTGAGAGGGAGTATTTATGGCTGAGCGAGTCCCAGAAAACTCAACTTGCCTAATGGGAATGTGCAGGACAGCGGCTGTGCAGAGACTTGGCTGGTCAGTGACGGCCGCAGATGGCGCCCAGGTTGCACATTTCTGGGCCTGGCCTCCCCAAGCTCCCATCAACTTTGGATTAAGGGAGCTGTGCCAAGCGGCTCAGCCATCGCTTAGCCGTCAGTAATTAGCAAAAGCACCTGAGCACTCCCACGGGTTCCACAGACACCCCCGTAGCCAGCACCAGCGGCCAGGACAGAGCTGCCAGAACAGGCTGGCCTTTCAGGGACAGTGGCCTTCATATATCCCACGTGGGCTCTGCAGATCTGGGGAGTGTGGGCCAGGAGGCGAGGAGCTGGGTCTGGGAGTAGATGCCTGGAAGCCTGGGGGAGGATGGCAGGGTGGCCTGAGGCCCAGTCACAGGGAGGGCCCCCTCTGAGGTCCAAGCAGCTTCCAGGGCTCTGCATCTGGCCCTGGTGGGTTAGCACATCAGCACAGGAGACGGCAGGTGGCTGTCCATGGTGGAGACACTCTCTTGACGGACAGAGAGGTCCATCTGTGCCTAGGGTCTGACTGGACCCCTGCAGGCTGGAGCCTGCTCATACCACCCACTGAGGTAAAGTCACTGACTCCAGAGCAAGGTGGGGCCTAGGACTCCATTACTTCCTGGGGACAGAAGTGACCTTAAGGCTCACTTACCAGGGCATTTCAGGCTTCCCCCCTTGGTGGGCAGCTGTCACCTGGGTACCATACTGCCACCTGGGATTTTGGGGTAGGCACAGACCTTTCTGGTGAGCCCAGCCTGGGGAGGGGCTACATCTGCTGGGGATAAGCAAGCTCTCTGATGACACCTGACACCACCTGCAGGGCCCAGACACAGCTCCTGAACCCTGACCCTGTACTCCCGTGCTTTGGCAACCAGAGCTCCAACACCAAGTCCTAGATGACGCCACACTCCACAGCTGAGAATAACAGCTATATCCCAGCTGCTCTGTGAAGTGTGAGGCACGTGTACCTCACCTCACCTGGAACAGCCCTTCACTTACACCATCCCTGCATACCACCCCTATCAACAGGAGTCTTGCAAGTGGCTAAAGGACATATTCCAGCAGACACACACCATCAGGCCCCTCTGTGGGCCTTTCAGGCACCTCACACAGAGCCAGGACTAAGTTTCAGGGCCTTTGTCTCCTGTGGCTCTGGACACAGCAGCACAAGTGTTTTCGATGACGGCCATGGCACCAACTAGAGCCACACCCCAGCTGCTGTGTTCCACACTCAAGAGTGAGAAAGCTTTCTGCTCTGATGACCTCTCTGAGGAGGGTTGGGCATGGGGAGGCCAGGGACATTCCCCAGCCACTGATTTGGATGTGCTGCCTGCTGAGTCTGCTTCAGAACGGGGATGATGGGAGGAAAGACTCCTCTTGTGCCCCTCTTAAGGTTGCACTGGAGTCCTGAGCAGGGCTCCTGTCACAGGCCTGTAGAAATGGCCTAAGCTGAGGTCAACTAACAGCTGTCACTCATGGCAAGCTGGGAGTTGTGACAGGACTCAGGTTACCATCAGTGTTCCCAAGTCTCCTGCCTACCCTGTGCCTGCTTGGGATGATCAACAGATCAGATAGCCCAATCTCTCTCAGGTCTGTCACTGGGGGCCAGGGAGTGAGTGAATGGCAGGGTTACTGCTGTCCATGGCTGTGCAGCACAGTTGTGGCTGGGATGACAGAGTCCACCCCAAAGCGAGAGTACAGGGCTTCTCAGTGCCTGCTGAGGATGTGGCATGGGTGTCAGCAGTGCGGGTGGAGTCCCAGGTGGGTGACCAGAGGTTGCCTCAGGATGCCCTTAACAGTGCAGGTCACAGGGCAGCAGCAATGTCCAGAAGGGTTACAACCAAGTCTCACCCTGCACGCCATATTCTTGCTGGGGTCTAGGGCAGGGAAGCATGAAAGAAACCAGGAGACACCAGCTCTCCCCCACCTCTCGCTCTCCAGGGCTCCAAAGCTTGTGTCCACCATCCTCTGTCCTCTAAGTGTGGATACCTTCGTGCCTCATGCTGCAGGGGTCATGAAAGAGAAGGACATTTCCTCCCCAGAGCCTGGGACCCCCACTTCTGCATCCTGTCCATCTCTATCACCACCTGGAAGTAGCCAGAAAGAAGTGATGCCTGTAGCCCTGCTGCCCTGCCCACACTGCTATTTCCAGCTCCCCTCTGAGACAGTTCCTCTAGGAGCCTCGATAACTGACCAATAGGAAGTGGCCACAGCCAGACAAAGCTGGGCTTTTGTGAAGTACAATATATCTGAGGCATGAAGCCCTGACCTGTGCTTCCCAGGCCTGCAGGGGTATGCTCTTCTGCCCGCCTTACATGGCAGCCTATTAGGGGCTGTGAGCCATAGTGGCCTAGCTTGATGCCCAAGAAGCTCAGCAGAACTCATAGGCAAAGAAGGATCGGAATGTGCAGTGTGGACAATGACCTGGCCTGAGGGGACTCAAGGCACAGGGGTGGCTCTGCAGAGCCAGAGGAATGTCCTACCGTGTGCTTCTCATGAGGTGGACACCAAGCAAACCTGCAGTCAAGCTTGGACAGCCAACCTGGACCAGCCTCCAATTCTGCAGCCTCTCGGGGGACCCACAGCGCCCATGTCCCCACACATGCAGCCTGTCTTTGTGTCAGCAGTCTGCTGCAATCATGGGGCCACTACCAGCCTAGATGTTCAGCACCTCTCGGGGCTGTGTGATGCTCAGAGCTTAGTGTGCCTGCACCCAGCACAGATACCTTCAACATGTGCTGCATAGGAGACCCATATGTGTTAACAGGGCACCTTGCTTCCCTGGGTGGCCCTCATTACTGGGTACTGGTACTCCTCAAAGCATTCGGCCTCTCCTGCCCTAGTCACTGTCACTTTACACCATTTGTGTCACTGTCCATTCCCCTACACAGGTCCTGGTGGATCCCCTTGTCCATCCCACAGGTCCCTAGAGCCAATGACATCATTGGAGACACTAAGAAGACTTGTCTTTCTAGGCTACCCAAGTCATGAGAGCGAAACACTCCGGTATGGCTGGCAAACACAGGGCACAATCAGTGGCTTGAGGCTGGACCAGGGCTCTGCACTTAGGTGAGCCTTGCCCCTGCCATACTCCTGGGCCCAGGATCAGCCCTGTGAACAGACGATACCTGTGTGCCAGGCATCTCCAGTAACTGAGGACTGTGGAAGTGTCTCGTCTGTAGTGGGCTGCATACACAATTACTCCTGCTCCACTAAGGCCTTCTGAGCCCACGGCTCCCCAGCTCTTTCAGGGCTGCGTCAGGCATGGAGGTCCTGCCATGCCCTCCAAGGGTTCCCCACATCCCACACTCTGTCCCCACTGCCTCACTCAAAGCTGGGCTGGGTGTATAGCAGTGAGGCCGCCTGAGCTCCAGTCGGAGGCCATTTTGTTTTGAGAGGCTGGGTTACACTAGAACTCACTCATGTACAACAGTGAGCTGGGAGAGGTAGCAGCTGGAGAGGAGATGGTCAGGTGCAATAAAGCCACCAACCCGAATACCATGATACTGCAGGGACCCTCCTGCTCTTGCCAGTGTGGCAATGACAACTCTCAGTCACAGCACAGGAACCAGGGCAGAACATTGAGCCTGCTGCCGGGTGGCTGGCACCTGCTGGGGATGGGCGTGGTATCCCTAAAAAGCACCAGTCTTGGGAGGACAGCAAAATTGTCCTCAGCTGACTACCACAGTCACTTGTGGCTGGACATGTTCTGGACCCATGTGACTATCCCTACCTGCCTGTCCAAGCGTGTACTGCATCCCTTCCTTGCAGACAATGCAACCTTAGGGATCCCTGCCAACAGGCATCCTGTCCCTGCTGAGGTGACCAACATGGCCTCCAAACTCAGAACAAGCCCAAACTCCTCAAGCAAGCAATGAACCAAGTGGCCCTCCACCCCCTCGTTCCCTGAGCCCCTGTACTCATCTGGAGATGGGGGTCCCACAGTGTGAACAGGTGAACTCCTGGCCTGGGGGTCCAGTAACAAAGGATAAGGGCACACCAGAGGCTGCAGGAGGGGCACTGCACACCCCCGCTGACCTGAGGGAGACTAGATGTCTGGCTCAGGTCTGGTTCGTCAGTCCCTAAATGTGGACTTTGCCAAACTATGGCTACATATCAACTATCTGTGGCTATATGCACCCTTTCTCAATGCCACCATGGTTTCCCAGGTCAGAATTACCTTTTAAAAAATAATATACCCCAGGCTGGCCTTGAACTTGGGACAATCTTCCTGCCTCAAGTCTCCTGAGTGTTGAGACAACAGGCACTCACCAGTCCCTTGCGGAGGAAGGTGGACATGGTAACTGTGAGGAAACACTTCTGCAGAGCGCTGTTTGATGGCCAGACACTCCAGCACATTAAGGGTTAAGCACAGAGCTCTGGCTGTGGCTTGGCCCATTTCTGCTGTGATTACCAGCTCTGCAACAACATCCAGTTCATTAGGGAGCCACAGGGACCTGTACACAGGATGATTAGGCACCAGCACAATGCTGCCTGGTGGGGCCTGTGCCCCCCCGAGCAGACGCTGGAGTCATGATGACCCTCCTGTGGCACCCCACTCATGGTAACATCCATCCCACCTCCATCTTGGCACAGGGGCCACTTGTCCAAGGTGGCATGGGCACCAGGGGACAGACAGTGAGCAGGGAGTGGCAGCACTGGCCTGTCTATTCTTCTTGCACTGCTTTTTGGCTGGATTTTTTCAGCTCTTGCCTTCTGCAAACCTACGCGTGACCACAACAGTCAAAAATGCCAGGGGTATCCCATGGCAGCCCAGAACATTCATAACACCCCCTGACATGGGCATTCCTGGAGCCCAGCTTTTCTCATGGGGAAATTGAGGCACAAGGTGGCAATGCCCAGGCCATATAATGTGGGGGTGTTCAGGCGTCCATGATCTACTCTGCACTCAACCTACTGGGGAGTCACTGTCAGGAGTCAGGGGTCCATCAGCAGTCCTCTCTGTGACCAGTGTCCCCAGTGACACTAGGGGTCACTGTGGCCATCAGGGCTGTGGGAGCTTTCTGGCATGGGGTGCAAGGCCAGGATACTCCACAGAGGATGCTAAGACCATGTACATTCTGGTGTTCTCAGGGGCCTTCTGGGCACATGCATGCTTAGAGACATGGCCAGGATAGAAGACTGTGACCGGGAGTGAGGGGAAAACACATTTCACAACGCAATCTGTAGTCAGCCCTGTGCACACAGCTCTGCCATGGCACAAATCAGGGGTTAGTGAGGCAGGGTGGCTGCAGCTAACCATGCAGCATAGGAGACATTGTCATTGGTAGCAGGGGAGCATGGCTGTCTGTTCTCACCTGGTCATTAAGCTTAGTGCTCCCTACCCAGTATCTGCTGCTACCAGCCCACCACAAGAGCATGGTGACACAGCACTAAAACAGCCACCTCCACACTTCGACCCCCAACTCTGTAGAAGACTTCCCAATTCTGATGTCCACCCCCTCAGGTATGCCAAGCATTCCTGGGAGAACTGGCATCCAGCCATGGGGACTGTGAAGGAGACAGAAGTTGTTAAGTGTGCAGCCAGAGCCAAACTCTCAACTGCATCCCTTGTCTCACTGCAGCTAAGCCTAGTAGAGTTGTGGTGAGTTCCTGCTGGAAGAGTCCTCTCCCTTAAAGTGTGCAGGCCAGGGCTAAGCTTCCCACATAATGTGTGGCCTGTGACCAGGAGAGGGCTGCTGCAACAGCCAGGGATGAGCAAGGAGGAGCAAGGCTGTTCAAGCGGCATCCCCTCCTGGAGAACCCGTTTGATCTCCTGCTCCTGACCTAGCTAGAGAGGCTGCTCCAGACTGCCAGGGCTAGCAATGTGGACAAGCAGACTGTGCCACAGGCTCACACTTGTCACCAGGCCTGAAGACTCTGAAGGGGAGCACTAACCTGGGAGCACTCCCCCCCCCCACACACACTTATGAATAGGCTGGAAACCTGTAGGGCATGCTGGATTTGGTGCCTACTGTGCAGTACTGTGCAGAACTGGCCTCTCTGTTCTTGTCTGTCAGCCCAGGGTTAGCATTCCATAGAGGGTGCTGGCATCACAGACCCAGGGATGGGCCATCTCTACGGGGAGCACATGGAAATGCTGGGGACTTGGTGGGCACTCACCCCACCCTACCCCACCAGGCACTGGCAGTCCTACTGAAGCTTATTCAAGGCCCTTGCTGTACATGCCGGAGGCACAGTGACCTAGTGGGGCTGATGAACTTTCTGGATTCTCAGCTTTGTTTCATTTTTGCTTCTGAGTCAGGGTCATGCTCTGTAGCTCAGGCTGTGACTAAACTCACAGCAACTCTCCTGCCTTAGCTTCTTGGGTTTTGGCATTCCATGTGAGCACCGGCACAGCTCAGAATCTTGTCTGTAAGGACAAATACTGTCACAAGGCAGGAGAAGAGACCTGGAGGGGTCTACACCGGACACAGCCTGTGGGGCTTTCATGGAGATAAGCCTCTCATGTAGCTGAGGCTGGCCTCAAACTCACCATGTAACCAAAGACAGCTGCTACCTCCTGAGTGCTGGGTGGCAGGAGTGCACTACCACACCTGCTTTCTGTGGGGCTGGGGACAGAACTAGGGCTTTGTATGTGCCGGGCAAGCCTCTGCCACATAACACGTGGCCCATCTGGGTTGACTTTTAACCCTCACCTCAAAACCAAACCAACAAAAACCTCTGCTGCCAACAGCTGGTGCCACAGAGGCTGCCACACACGGAAGAGGCTCTTCAGAGGTGCCCAAGACAACCCAACCGCCTGCTATGACCACAGAAGGAAAGCCACAGGGAGACTCAGGCAGACAGAAGCTAGTGCAGCTTCGTAGCTGACCACATCTCTCCACACAGAGCCAGTTTTTACTAAGTTTAGATGAGGAGCCCCGCCCTGTTCCACACAGAAGTGGGAGATGAGGCTCATGGCACATGACCTGCTCTTTAAAGTCAGAGCAGACCGCTGGGTCACCTCTCCATACCACTCCATGGAGAACTCCTTTGGTATTTGGTGGCTGTGTGATAGTCCCTGGGCACACATGTTACTTTTTCTGTCTGTGAGACCATACTGCACCTGTCCCACGGCAGAAGTGGCCGAGGCCAAGCGTCGCAGGAAGCATGGCTTGTGAGATGGCCTTCTGCAAAGGGTCCTTCTGCAGCTAACCCAAGAGATCTGGTGTCTGTGCCCCAGATGACCTAGATCCCCAATACCGGGCCTCTCCCCTGTCCTCCGGATAAAGGTGAGCCTCCTACAAAGTCTGAGCTCACGTGCACAATCCAGAAAATTCTTCACTTGGGAACATAGCTGTGCTTAGCTCACGAACAGCCTGTATGCCTCCACCCATTCATTCCTCACAGGAGTGGCGGTGCTCATGATCTGCAGAGAAGCAACTGGGGCCGTGACTGGAAGGTCTTCTGGGGTCACTAGGGTGTGGCTTCCAGCCATGGAAACAGCCCATGTTGAGTGCCAGAGCAGCCCTTGTGTGGCAATGCCCACCAGTAAGGGGGATGCATAGCCAGCTGAAGGTGGATTCTTGAGGTCACTGTGCCTCCGGCATGTACAGCAAGGGCCTTGAATAAGCTTCAGTAGGACTGCCAGTGCCTGGTGGGGTAGGGTGGGGTGAGTGCCCACCAAGTCCCCAGCATTTCCATGTGCTCCCCGTAGAGATGGCCCACAACTCTAAAACATTCACAGACCTATGGGACTCTCAATCAGGTCTAGCCTCAGAACACTCCATCATCCCATCAGGAAGCCCTGTCCCCTCCCAAACCCTGACACCCCCACTTCCATCTTCCCACCTTTGGATTCCCCAGTCTGGATAGTCTCCATCATGGAGTCCACACCATGAGGCTTCTGTGTGATTAAGCATGACATCGCCAGAGGACTTCACAGGGCAGCAGGTCAGAGTGTTCCTCCCCGCTCCTACACATGGCTTGCAGGGGTGTGCACACTCTGCCCTCCCCTCCCCCACTATCTGCCTTAGCACCCCTTTCTGGCAGCCACACTTCCTGGTGTGCCTCAGCTGGCTGGAGGGGAGCAGACAGAGGAATCCCCACCCCATCTTCTTGATGTCAGTGGTCCTTTCCCTAAGCCTAAACCCCTTGCTGAGGGGTCCTACACTGTCCCTCCAGGGACCTTGGTGGCCTCAGTATGGACTGGTTCCTGCCCAGAGGCTGGCCTATAGCTCCAGTGAGTGTGAGCATTGCCTCCCATTGCCAGAGTTAAAGGTCTGCTGGCACAGCTCACTGCTTAGTCTCTGGGTTAGGGCCCTCAGTGCCCCTCTTATGAAGGGGAGGGGCACAGACAGGGCTGAAGCCTCATTAGCACAGCCAGCAAGCACCTTCCTGGGAGACTCAGAAGGGGGTGTCAGGCTGCAGACAGGACCTGGCTTGGCACTATAGGGAGGGGTGAATGACTCTTATGTTAGTGGCTCCTGTGCCTTCGGGACACACAGGTGGAGCTCCAGTGCCTACTATGGACCGTGCGTTCCTCTACACCCTCCAGCCATTAAAAATGCAAAGTGGTGCCTGCCCTGCCACTAAGCAGGAGAGGGAGGAAGGCAGCCAGCCTGCAGCTCCCTACTGTCGCTGTGCACATGGGAGGGCAGGGGAGGTCCCAGGAGAATGGGGATAAGCCAAGGACACAGCATGTGCATGCAGGCTGAGGGGGGAGGAGGGGGCGGCTATTACTACCATGTGGGAACAGATGAACTGGAGGCAAAAGGCTGCGGGAGACAGGAGAGACAGGCACTTGTCTGTCTAGGTGCTTTGGGACTCAGACCCCATTCTGTCTTGCATGTCCTCATATCCTCTATGTCCACATGGGCTGAGGAGCAGTAGTCCTGGTCCCCAGTCCCTACCATGAGGCTCAAGAATCCACCTTCAGCTGGCTATGCATCTCCCTAACTGGTGGGCATTGCCACACAAGGGCTACTCTGGCAGCTGGCCACGTGTCCCCCTCACTGGTGCATCCCCTACTCTTTTGAGGCCTGCCCTGGCAGCCGGGTGCACCTGGGATAGTGTGGTGCTCGCCACCCTGCCCTGTACCCGGCTAGTCTCTGGTGCCTCGAGCCACTTGTTCCCTAATTTCACGCTACATTGCTTGACAATGTGAGCATGGCACCATTGTGGACGGCCCTTCCCAAATGCTGCTTGTTTGTGGACACATGGCTGAGCCTGGAATTACTTTTACTATCTGGGCAGCTCCTGTTATGACTGAGGCTGAGACAACTCTGCAAGCACAGGCCTGCCATCACAGCTCAATCTGCCACAGGTGCAGTTGATCTTGGCCGCCATCCCACCAGCCCTGGCCATTCAAGGTGTCTAATCAATCAAAACCAGACATAGGTCCCAATCCCGGGTCATGCCACCTCCCCCAGTCTCAGTGTTTCATGAAGATTGAAGACAGGCTCCAGGAACCCTGGAGCAGATCACCAGGTTCATGCCATGTCCTTAGCGAGCACCTGGCCAGAGCTCAGGCCCTGGCTCCATGACCAGCCACGAAGCACAGTAAGGGCAGCCAGCAAGCAGGGGAAGATGGAGAATGGCCTGATTTCCATCCTCAGAACCCACATAAAGTGAGATGGGAGACCAGTAGGGCACCCCAGAAGCCATGGCCAGGAGACCCCGCCTCACACAGGAATACACATGCACACACAAGAAAAGTATCGACACAGATAAAAAGCTAAATGATGGCCCAGTCCTGGGCATGGGTCATCCTGTGGTCCTACCACTAGGGAGGATGAGGCAGGACCAGGTCAGACAATGTCTGATGTCTCAAAGACCAAAAAAAAACCAATAAATAACGTGGCTCAACAAGCAAGGCCAGCTTGCCGGAGCAGCACTGCCCAGAGAGAAGGAGTCCCTGCAGAGTACTAAGAAATGAAAAACCGAAACAGGCAGTGGTGGCGCATGCCTTTAATCCCACCACTTGGGAGGCAGAGGCAGGAGGATCTCTGTGAGTTCGAGACCAGCCTGGTCTACAAGAGCTAGTTCCAGGACAGGCTCTAAAGCTACACAGAGAAACCCTGTCTCCAAAACCCAAAAACAAAACAAAACAAAACAAAAACAAAAAAGAAAAGAAAAAGAAAGAAAGAAAAGAAAAGAAAAACCCAGACAGGCAGTGGAGGCAGAGGCAGAAGGATCTCTGAATTAGAGGCCAGCCTGGTCTACAGAGTGAGTTCCAGGACAGGCTCCAAAGCAATACAGAGAAACCCTGTCTGGAAAAGAGGGAGGGAGGG